AATATCAAATTTGATTGCTGTCACTTATTTACAAACATACCTGTCCTGAAAGGAAGATCTTCGCAAACTACCTCAGCAAAAATTATTGGCAGTTAAGAACGACAGATCAAGCGCAGAATTCAACCAATGTAGCAAAAGTGATTCGAGAAAAACGGGTGTCCTAAGATAAATCTGTTGAATATGGTGTTTCCTAACAGAAGAAAACATTACGTTTGAGCATAAATATGAAAATTAAATCAAAAACTACGCTGCTTAAGTCATATCTTGAACAATTATTGCGCAAAATAACATGAAGTCAATCCTACTGAAGTAGCGACAAACCAACTACGACTAGCTCACTTTCAGTGCTCTGATGGTTTTGCGTTGTAGAAAAGTACGCCTTACGGATTGAGAATAAACAACGCGAAGACCATGAAGATCAGAAATCATTTAGCACAATGGCACTGAACGATTATTAAATCCAGCAGAACACTGAGTATGACCTTTTGGGACAGCTGGCTGTTTTGAACCATTCAGAGCATGCTCGAACGCATGTAATGGCGAGTTCACTGCTACGGTCAAGAGTTGTGGAGGATCACCTAAAACCTTCGATCCTGAGTACAAGCGGCTGAAATGGGCTTTCTGAGACGAGTCGTTGGTTTTACGAGTTTCGACATGGTCTGGAATAGAGACATCCGCGAGACCTGGTGTACAGCAGCTGCTACTTCAGATTAAGTCAGAGCAGCGATGGCTTGGGCATGTATTGCGAATACCTTCAGAGAGAAAGGGGAAGCGACTGCTTCTTGCCCAACCTAACGGCCGAAAATCAAAGGGATGGCCAAGATCAACCTGGTGCACATATATAGAAGGAGCCTGCTCCAGTCTCTAGTTGTCTTCTGCCGACGGTAGAACCATGATCAGGATCGTGAACGTTGGAAGCACTGTCTTACGGGTCTTTCCCCGCGATCCAAAAGGAGAAGAGGTTATAGAAGACGAAGATGAAGGTTAGTATAAATTTTTTTAAAAACATTCTATTATAACAAATTCACAGCGAATTGAAAAGTAA